CCAGCACTTGTACCTGTCAGATAATCCTAACTCCAGCTCTAGGGAGTCCTAGATGCTCCTGACTTCTGAAGCATCTACACTCATGTGCATATATCTCTTAGTGCACCCAGTAGTTAATAATCCTTTAAAAAAAAAAAAAATCTGGTGTACATAGTGAGTTTCAGGTTAGCCAGAGCTACACAGTGAAACTTTGTCTCAAAATTTAGTAAGACCACGCAAATCAGTTGCATTAAACTTCTTCCTTTCGAACAAGTCTACATTTTTTTTAAGGTAAGACCCGGATCTAATCTAATAAGGGGCGCCACTGGTCGACATTTGTACCCGCACCACAAGGTCCAGGGAAGCAGCAGCAAGCTACCTTGTTGAGCCGGTCATCGTCCGCCTCGATGCCCACGCTGTCTAGTATCTTCTTAATGTCTTTGGCGCTGGGAGAGGAGTTGCCCCCAAGGGCGGCAAGCAAATAAGAGGCGACGTAGCGCATGCTGAATGAGACAGAGAGAGGATACGGCGGTGGCGTAACCCGAGGCCTTCTGCCGACCCCTCCATTTTAGCCAACAAGTGCGGCCACGTGCGGCCCGGAACTCCCGACCACGGGAGGCCGCGCACCCCTCGAATACCGGCCGCCACCCGCCCTTCGGTCCCAAGCCCTGCCCGCGGCCCGACCGGCAAGCCCACTCACTCGGCTGCTGCGGGACAGGCCTCACGCGTGCGACCTCGGCGGCGTCAGGCAGCGAAAGGAAGACGCTGACGCAGTGGGCGGGGGTAAACCGCTACCCAGAAGCCTCCGGGACTCGCACGGCGCCGGATGGGGGCGCCTCCCAGTGACGACACGGGCGACCGGAAGGAAGCCGTCGTCCCCAACCCGGTGTTCCCCACAGTCAAGACAATGGGTTGTTCGGGGGCCAGGTGCTCATGTAACGTGGGCGAGAGCCCCCCGAAGTCCATGAGGACACGGGCGACGAATCTCACGGCGCTCTCAAACCCCTTTAACGCCTCCCGTCCCCAGCATGCCACGCGGCGCTACAGCTCCCAACATGCAGTGCTCAGGCCCCGCCCGAGGCGTAACTTTCAAAGCGAACTGCAAGTCCCACGATGCATCGCTGCTAGAGAGGACCTTGCCACCGGAAATGCGCGCCCCTTTAGCTTCCTCTTGTTGCACGTGGGCTAAATGTGGGGCTGGAGGTTCAAACTATGGATGTGTGGGTCGCTCCTGGCCTTGGGCACCAGAGGTCCGAAGTCTGGCTGGAGCTCATGGCTCCCATGTTCAGCTGGCCTGGGAAAGGTGGGCGAGCTGTCTGGGGCTTAGTGACAGCGGCCATATCTGGTGACATTCTTTTTTCTTTTGAGACAAGGTTTCTATATAGCCCCGGCTATCCTGGACATCTCTGTGTAAACCAGGCTGGCCTCGAACTCACAGATATGCGTCTGCCTCATCCTCCCGAGTGCACCGGCCCTGATGGCGTACATCTGTAATCCCAGCATTCGGGAGGCAGAGGCAGGTGGAGCTCGGTGAGTTCCAGGACAGGACAGCCTGGTCTGCAGAGCAAGTTCCAGGACAGCCAGAGTAACAATGAGTAACCCTGCGTCAAAACAAAACAAAAAACCAAGACAACAACAAAAAGAAAACGTGCGTCTACACTGGCCCCTGAGAGCCCTCCTTTCTTCGCAGCTAGGCCAGAAGAGCCGGACCTGCCGAGCAGTGCTTCAATGCTGCTCAGACCCATTGGATAATGATGAGGCCTGAGTTATCAGCCACAATTTGTCCCTCTCTGCCCAGGACAAACCAGCCAGATAGTTTAGCATGTAAAAGGCACATGTGACCAAGCATGACAGTCTTGAGTTCCATTCCAGGGTTCCCAGGGTGGAAAGAAGTTAGTTGCTATCCCAAGTTGTCCTCCAAACCACACTCATGTATACATAAATAAAGGCAGAAACAGAAAGAAGGAAAATCCTAGTTTTAGGTCAGGAAGCTTTTGTCTTCCAAGACCAGTAAAATCTTCCCAAGTATTAACTTTGAGCTGAGAGATGAGAAGCCTGCTCCTACCACACCAAGACTGGAAGTTGGCTGGAGATAGGTTATGCTGGCAGAATCCAACTGTGGGGTGGAGGATGGGGAAGCCTCTAGGACAGACAGTATACACTTTACTTTGTGTGTAGTGCCTCACATTGCTAGAATGAGCCCACACTACATGTTACTGTTCTTACCCATACTTGAGGCACAGAGGGTTTGTTTGTTTGGTTGGTTGGTTTTTGGTTTTTTTGAGACAGGATTTCTCTGTGTAGCATTACACCTTTCCTGGATCTCACTCTGTAGCCCAGGCTGGCCTCAAACTCACAAAGATCCACCTGCCTCTGCCTCCCGAGTGCTGGGATTAAAGGCGTGTGCCACCACCACCTGGCGAGGTTTTTTTTTTTTTTTTTTAAAGATTTATTTATGTCTTTTAGTGTTCTGTCTTCCTGTATAGACATCTGCATGACAGAAGGCATCAGATCCTATTATAGATGGTTGTGAGCCACCATGTGGGTGCTGGGAATTGAATTCAGGTCCTCTGGAAGAACAACTAGTGCTCTTAAACACTGAGTCATCTCTCCAGCCCCCAGAAGAATTTTCTTATAGATCTAGGATGATGTAGGGAAGCCACCTGGCAAGGTAGGACTCCAGTCTGAATCACAACTGGATTCAGTGGTTTGAGCTAGAACGTGCATGTTGTCTTTCTTCTCAGTTTGTTTTTGTTTTTACAAAGATTCATTCAGTTTATGTGAGTGTTTTATTTGCATGTATGTGCACCATGTGTGTGCCTGGTGCTCTTGGAAGGTCAGAAGATGATACCAGATGCTCTGGAACTGAAATTAGGGATGATTGTGAACTGCCCTGTGAGTGCAGGGAACCAAATCAAGATCTTCTGCAAGAGCAGCCTGTAGTCTTAACAGCAGAGCCATCTCTCTAGCCCCATCATTGATTTTTTTACATGAATGTGTGTGCCTGATTGTACATACAAACATGTGTGCAGTGCCTTCAGAAGCCAGAAGAGGGCATTAGTTCCCCTGGAACTAGAGGTTCAAGCCATTGTAAGAGGCCTGAAATGGATGCTGAGCTATTCCTCCAGACTTCTATTTTATTTTGAGACAGTGTCTCATCATATAACTCTGGCTTGCCTGGAACTCACAGAGATCCACCTGCCTCTACTTTCAAGTGCTGGGATTAAAGGCATGCACACCATACCTGGCATGATTTTTTTTAATGTTGTTTTGTTGTTATTGTGTCTTTAATATACAACAGGGCTGGTGAGATGGCTCCATGGTGAAGAACACTTTTGCAGACTGAAGGCATGTACCACTATGCCCAGGTCACTAGTATAAAGTTAAGTAATATTCCTACAATTATTACTTTTGAGACAGGGTCTGGGGTTGGGGATTTAGCTCAGTGGTAGAGCGCTTGCCTAGCAAGCGCGAGGCCCTGGGTTCGGTCCTCAGCTCTATTTAAAAAAAAGAGAGAGAGAGAAGAGACAGGGTCTTCCTGTGCAGCCCAGGATGGGCAATCCTCCCATCTCAGCTAGATACTGGGCTTGCAGTTATACTAAGCTCCTGGGACTTTTTTTTTTTTTTTTTTTTTTGGAGACAGGGTTTCTCTGTGTAGCTTTGCGCCTTTCCTGGAACTCATTCTGTAGCCAGGCTGGCCTCGAACTCAAAGAGATCCGCCTGCCTCTGCCTCCCGAGTGCTGGGATTAAAGGCGTGCACCACCACCGCCCGGCAACTGTTGTTTTTTGGAGACAGGGTTTCTCTGTGTAGCTTTGCGCCTTTCCTGGAACTCATTCTGTAGCCAGGCTGGCCTTGAACTCAAAGAGATCCGCCTGCCTCTGCTTCCTGAGTGCTGGGATTAAAGGCGTGCACCACCACTGCCTGGCGGGACTGGTTTTTATAAGGATCCTTCTAGCAGCTTATGAAAACTGAAAAAGAGACAGATACTAGACAGAATGGAAGCAGCAAGTTCTAACAGGGAGCTTGCCTATCGTATAGACTGTAACTGTCCACAGCTCTGTTGAGGATGCTGAGTATTGGCTTCAATGTTCACCAATTAAAGGACTTAAGCAAGATCTCATATCTCAACTTCTTTGTTGTTGTTGTTGTTTTTCTTGTGAGATCCACAGGATTCAGAAAGGCAAAGCCAGGAAGCTCACTGTCTAGGCAGCTGGTCCAGATTGATGTTCAGTGAGGAGGACATCCAAGCTCCAACAAGCTGGAGTTCACTGTAGAGCCTGGGAAGGAAGTCTTAGACTCAGTGGTTCTCAACCTTTCTAATGCTAAGACCCTTTAATAAAGTTCTTCATGTTGTAGTGACCCCTAACCATAAAATCATTTTCATTGCTATTTCATAACTGTCATTTTACTGGTGTTATGAATCATAATGTAAATAC